CTCTCTATCCAAACCCTAGATTCCAAGATCGATCAATCTGCTTCTCGTCAAGACATCGTACAGCTCGATTTCTACGGTTTCTCTGTAGATCCTTTTCAATCTCTCTCAGATTCATCGTCGGTCTCTTGATTTCGATCATATTCTGTTGGAATCGGTGCTTGGAGCTCGCGGATCTTATGGAGTGAAGCTTGTCGTCGGATTCGTTTCCAAGCGGTTGTGAAGATCATCACTCTAACCCGGTAAATCCCAGTTTCCTCTCTTCATCTCTGTCCCTTGATTTTAATTTCTAGGTTGTTTCTTTTTTTTTGTTTTTTGGTTACCTTGATTTGATATCTGTATGGGCAGCGTACGTTACGATTGCTTTTATCGGACCCGAATCGATTTCTCTTTTCATTGTTGGACCGATGTGATTAGGTTCTTAATTTCTTTTCTTGGTGTCGCGTTTTTGACTGACTATCTTACGAGAAATTCATATGTTGCAGGTTTAGCACGGAGATGGAAAAGATCTACGAGAATGCCAAGACTGCAGTGTTTTGGGATATCGGGAGTTGTGATGTCCCTGATGGTGTCGATGTTGATTCGATTACGTCGAATATAAGATCAGCGCTTTCGAATATGAAGTATTTTGGTCCGATCTCATTTTTCGCCTATGGCGATACGACTGTTATGAAGGAGGAAATTGTTGACGAGATTAGTCGCACCATATTCTTGCTCCAGCAAGTTAAGGGCGAAGGTGAATTCTCTAAAACCCCCTTTAACACTGTCACTCTTTCTGTATCTTGTTCTGTGTATCTTTTCTTTTCATTCTTATTATTTTTAGTTTGATCTTTATCTCTTGGACTATGTGTTTCTTTTGTTTCAGGAGATAGATTCCACGCTTTTGGGGCTATTGCAATGGCCATGTTTTTCTGGGCAAAACACAATCCTGGACCTGCAAATTTTCTCCTAATCTCCGGAAACAAAGACTTCTCCTATGCTCTTACGCAATTCAGAAAGAGTGGGTGCAATGTTCTCTTAGGACACCCTAAGAGAGAAGCATCAGGGCCGTTAACAAGAAAGGCAAGCGCAGTATGGCATTCGGAAACCCTATTAGCTGGAGGAAGCCCTCTCCCCTTTTCCCCCAAGTGGAAAACTTCTCACAAATTAAAGACGTTTGAGTATAAATATTCGGATACAAGCGCTGCTTCTTCTTTTTCTTCTCCCAAGAGACCCTAGTCATATTGACCGGCTCTTTCCTGTTTCGTCTTGGTTCATGAAGACCCCTGCTTTCGTCTTTTACAAATTGCATTTCCCTATTGACATTTCTCTGTTTCAAGAAAAATCTGGTTAAGCATTAAGAGATACACATGTACGTATCTCTTGCATGCGTCTGATTTTGCTTTCTCTCACTGTTTGTATATGTGTACGCTCAAATTCTAGCTAGTCCTGACTTTTGATTATTAAATTGTAGTATGGCGACAATATATCGGTGTTTTCTTCATATTGCATTTAAGGCACCAAAATGCACTAATTGCATTTTCTTCATATCGCAAATACTGGACTTCCAAATATAATACTTGAAACAACAACTTCCTTTGTATCTTTGGACATCCAAAGTTGAGACACATATTTCGATAATGAGACATGATTCGATTGTCTCTTATAACTAAAACTAAGCAAACAAATAGATCTAGGAGTTGACAGTCACTGCTACAACGAAGACGCCTTTAGAGTAGACAATTCTCTCAGAGTAAGGAGCAAGCTTGCGGTTCCAAAGCGTGCTATCTAGAAGACCAGCCAACCGCAGCATTTTCTGTTGTCTGAATACTTGAACCTGAATCGGTGTTTGAGGCGAGATGGCTTAGCTTTACATCTGATCTTGACTTTGTGTCTGTTGCGCTGCTTGGTGCATCTTGAGGAAGACTAGAATCTATGGGATTACTTGTTGTAGCAAGGTGCTCTGTTTCGCCAAATGAGTCCAAAGAGTTGACGTAGACCAGCTCGGTTCTACATAACATTGAGAAGAGAAAATCACTGAATTAGAAACGGATACCAAATTCAAACGAGAATGAAAACAGTTTTAGTTCTGCAGTTAGTTTGATATGCACACAACTCAATTCAACTGAAACAGAGCTATAAAGCTGTAGCAGTGACCTTGTTGCGAAGTGATTTTGTTGTGAAGAGACCATGTAACATAGCGAGTCGTACTTGCTAAATCCTCCATATATCTGCAATCAATATAAATCACTGAAGCTCACCAGAAGACAGGTCGGAGGTACTGGAAAACTGAATATATGATCACTAACAATAGAAAAAAGTGCAGGAGTTGGAAGTAGACTTACGTGTCACGACATGATTTTTCTGTGGACTCCACGAGACTATTGAAAGCTCCGGTTATGGAACACCTCATGCCCACTTAAGTATTCATTATATTTCTATTCAAGCTTAAAACATACATCACACAAATTTCGCAGGGAAGGGAAAATGAGTAGGAGACCACCAAACCAAAGAAAACAGTGCCTACCTGAAGAAGATATACAGAAACTAGAAGTAATCTCTTGAGAATGTGTAGAAGCCTGGCCCCTAACTAAACCAACACAAAACAAACGGAAATGAGAACTGAAAATCCAATGCAACAACAACTACAATAAGAAAGATTATTGCGAAAGACAGTTGACGAGTAGAGCGAAGTCGCATTACCAAAAACAGGTGAGAAACTGATGAAATCACTAAGAAAGGTACTTCGTATGTCAATCTGAAAATATGTAGAGCAAGTTTAAAGTCTTAAGGGCATCCAACACGACGAAACTTCCAGTCATTCTAAACTAGTGGCAGGTCCTAGATATCATCTCCTGTTGCATATATGGTTTTTATGTGCTCGTACTTTTAATTTAAACCTAGTGGCAGGAACTTTTAATTTAAATCTCGAGCAAGTGCTCGTACCAACCTCTCTCTAGAAAGCTCAGTGCCTGAACAAACATCAAATTTCTTATTTGGTCATCTTATAATTATACTCTGGTAACAGAAGATCAACATCAAATACTGGTCTGCTTTTTGATAGTCAGTCACATACCATGAACACTCTGGAGCAATATTCTTCCACTTGAAGAATCTAAACGTGCACCATATAGGGAAGTGGCATTCTTTCTCATCTATTAAGGAAAGGCGACTCCTTCTTTTTGCATTCACTAGCAAGCTTCTCATTATTGAGCCATACATTCTATTTGGTCCTGTTCTCCTAGTTGAGCATGAGCATGAGAATGGAATACCCAACACCGCAATTACTCTTCTCCTTCCCGGTTTTTATGCCATTCTCTTTGTTCAAATAGATATGTTTTATCGTCAGTAGCATTCCTTCCATCACCTCCAGAACTAAAACCATGCAGCTGACTGTTGTTCGGAAAACAATTTCTCGAGGCAATACTACCAGCAACAGCATAAAATGAACCGAGGAGAGACTTTCTTGTCAGATGTGCATAATTAGCCAAATCATTAGTTAGTGTAGATGTGAATCCATAAGATCTGGACACCGTGTACTCGCGAATGGCTGGCCTAACTAAGCAATACCAAACCTCATCTCTGATTTCTCTTTATTGCCGTTGTATACATCGCAAAAGTCCCTTCTCTTAAAATCGAATAGTACTGCAAAACAAAAACCAAAAGAAACAGAATATCAGTGATTGTGAATCACTTGCAGGGTCCATTTCTTGCACGATCCAAACTTTATGCATTGCATATGTAAATGCACCATTAAAACAAGAAAAACCTGATAGAAAGATGAGTGCAAAACATGATAAAGTAACTCAGAAAGAAACATAGATTCTACAAAATAACTTTCGACGTGAGGAATAATTCACTTGATTTTTTCCTCATAATGGAAAAATCCCATGTAACAAAAGACGCAACGAAACATGCGAATTAACACTTTTTCAAAAAAAAAAAAACATACGAATTAACAGAGAAATGATTGTATGTTCAGCTATATGTCGTCTACATATTACAAAAACACAAACCTTTAAAACAACCCCAGTTTTATTTACTTCCCAAGCTTTTAAGGAAAAAAATTCAATCAGCCTTAGGAGATGAAATCAG